GTGCCCGCTCCCGCGGGCGAGGCGTCGGTGAATTCTGAGAAGTCGGGTCTCGGGTGGCAGGAGGGCAGGAGGGAGGCGGCCTCGGCTCGGGGAGGGGAGGGCAGGGCCGAGTCAAGGGGGGTGGCAGGGAGGGGGGGCAGTGGGTGGGTTCAGGGTTGACTTTGAATAGCAAGGGGCACTTTCTCGAGCGGTGTGAAATGAGCAATAAATGTATTAGGGGGCTAACAAGAGAGCTGTAACAGTGACAAAGGAAAGCTGTTCAAAGTTGGCGGATAATCCCCCACCCATCTGCCCAGCTCATTACCATGTAGCCAGCGACCGGGTGCCAATCAGGTCTCAATAGCGGCTTTCGGGTCTTTATTAGCCAGGCGCCGCTTGGAGGGGCTTCCCTCAAGGCGCTGTCACCTCGCCATTCTTCACCCCCATTTCCAGGGGTTTTATAACTTGGTTGTAAATTGCTATTAAATGTAAGTCTGCCCAATAATGAACCTTAAGCCCCTCTCGCCACTGCCCCCCTCTCCCCTCTCTTTCTCTCCCTCCCGGTGCTATTATGGCCGTGGACGGGGCCTGCCCCAGAGAGGGGCTGACATTGTTGGTGCTGCTGCCGGAGAAAGCCTCTTAGCCTTTAAAATAGTTAATAATTAGATTAAAACTTCAAATAAATTAACTAGAGGGTGAATGGGAGTAGTCGGGGACGGCTCCTCCCGTCTATTTTTTTTTTTTTCCAGACGGTCCCCAAATCATTAAAATGGATCACGTTTCTTCTCCGGTTCAGCCCTTGGGGCTGCCCTATTTCTGGAGGAAAGGCTGCCAGAGCCTTGTGTCTGGGACCCCCGCTGCCTCCTGCCTGCCTCCCACCTTCACCCAGGCTCCCCTCCCCCCCGGGCGGGGGGGACCTGCCGGAGGTGCTGCCCGGGGCCATCCCGCCTGAAGATGCCCGGCACCTGCAGACCAGGCCCGGGTCAGACAGAGTGGGCACTCGGGGCTCCAGCTCCGTCAGGGGCCTCAGCCCATGGGCCCTTTGGTCCCCAAGTGGTGTGAAATTCAAGGGTTTGAATAGATGGGGGGAGCAATGGAGATGCCCACTTGCTTGGCCAGGCTCTCGGGAAAGGCCAGGAATATTCAAGCACTAATAGACTCTGCTTCCCCCCGCCCCCACCTCACTCTGCACACCATACTTGACACCTGTGAGCATCATTTCCACGACCTATTTTAGGGGCAAGTGAGCCTGAGGCCCAGAGGGGTGAAGTTGGTTGTCAAGGTCACACCAGCATGAGTGAGGACAGGGATCTGCCCCTTCCCCATCCTCGGTCCCTGAGGTGCCCTGGGAGGGGCAGAGTCCCTCTCCCTCTGCTCTGGTCCAGCCGGGGCAGCCGCCTTGTGGATGGACTGTCCAGCCTCCTTGTCTAGGCTTGGGATGCCCTCACGCCCCCTCTTGGATCCTCCAGCTCCTGCCTAGCACCACCTCCTCCAGGAAGCCTCCCTGATTTCTGTAGCTGTCAGGACAGGTCTTCTCCTTGGGTGCCCTGAGCCCTTACTCTGAGCCTGGTCCTGCCCCTCTCATCACCAGGCTCACCTTGCATTCCCCTCTGTCCTCCATGGCAAGAGGTGTGCCTGGTGCCAGGCTCAAGACTGGGCACTTGGGCCAGGCCAGCAAACATGTCTTGTTGATAGCAGCGAAGATAAGGAGATCAGGATACCCATCCACGGCCAAAGGGAGCAAAAGCACTGGCGGTTTTGAGTTCGGGGTAAAGGGGTGGGGTACAGCGTAGGACCAGCTGAGGCGTTAGCTGGGGGATCAGAGGGGCCCCTGAGGCCGGCTCTCTAAGACCCACCGTTTACTGAGCACCTCCTTGGTGCCAGGATCCTGTACAGGACGCATCCCTTACAGACCACATTCTACATCATGAAAATGCCAGGCAGCAGGTGCTTCTATCCCCAGTTTACCGAAGAGGACACTGAGGCCCACGAAAGCTGAGTGACTGTACAAACTCCCAAAGCCACTGGCAAGTGACCACTTAGGGACTGGAATGCTCTCACTCCAGACCTGGTGCCCACGACCCCATGTGATGGGCAGCTGAGGATGCTTTCCTCTCAAATCTGGAGGCTTCTATGGACCACGCCATCCGGGGAAGGAGGTGGTTGGGAGCCCCTGAAGCCCCTGCCTGAGCTCTGGCTTCCAGAAACACAGGAGGGATGCAATGGGCTCGTGCCCAGGCTCCCAGACAGAGGGGAGAGGAGCCAGGGCCCCAAGAGCCCACTCCCTCGAGTTCTGACAGGTGGGCACCTACCTTTCTTGAACTCGATCTCAAGGATGTCAGGGCTGTTGGGGGCTTTGGCGGGGTCCTGGGTCTTCGTGTAGAGGCCCGGAGGCGCTTGGTTCTGACAAAAGACAGAAAGAAGTTGGAGGATGGGGTGTCCAGAGCCAAGCCATACCCCGCCAGTCCCCACACACCCTGTGCCCCACCGCCCGCAGAGATCTGCACCCCTTCCCCAGAACCAGGGGCCTGTGGCACCTGCCGCCACCTGGCACAGACCCGTGGGCCTCCCAGCCCCCAGCCCGGAGCTGGCCTCGCTTGCCAGGGGCCTGGGAAACAAAGGGCTCGAGAAATCAGACAATTTTTCCCCTCAACTTGATCTCATCTTTTTCTTCGACGCCCCCACAGCTGGAGGTAGAATAGCAGCAGAGGAACAAGTCAGGCAAGAAAAGTGTGAGTTTGGAGGAGCGAGGCAGGAGCGGGCTTCCCGGGAGCGGGTGCTCGCTCTCCCAGGCGCGGAGAAATGGGGTTTATTCTGCACTGACCGCAAAGCTAATGACTGCGCGTGACCCCAGCAGGTGCTCTGGCGAGCCGAGCCGTCCCCGGGGTCCTCGAGGTTAATACTCACGGGGAGAAAAGAGAAGAGCAAAGCAAAAACCCATTTGAAAACACATCAACCTTTATGTATATTTTTCCTTGGGCGTGTTGGAAAATGGGCCTCTCGTCTTGATGCAGCGGGCAGAGGGGGCCACTGGCTGCCTGGGGCTCTCCAAAGTCCCTCCTGGCTCCCAAAGCCCAAGGCCCTGGGCTCCCCGCCACCCCCCAGCTGCGCTCGGACCCTGGCCACCCAGGGGAAAAGGGGGGGGCCTCTCGGCCTGACTGCTCCAGTCTCTCCTGTGGGCACCTCGGGGCCCAGCTGTTTCCACCTGGGATACCGCAGGACATGCCATTCTTAAATCTTTGCTTTCGAGACCCTGTGGACATTCACGTGTCACTTTCCATCTGCAGCTTCTTTTGGGTTCTCAGCAGCCCTGTTTGGTAAGAAGGTCAAGTGCTGTCACCCTATCTATAGATGAAGAAATACAGGTTGAGGGGGAGTGACTCCCCCATTCTCCACCGTGAGTTCTGTGTGGGCCGGGACCCGGCACAGGGCAGGAAACCCCGAGGCCGGCCACAGATATGTGCTGGATTTTAGAGTGGTGGAAAATATCCTCCAAGCCAGGAAGTCAAATTCCCCAGCTGCGGGGCCTTGGCCAAGTTGCCTTGCTTCCTTGGGCCTGTTTTCCTCACCTGCAAAATGGGGAAAGGATACCTGCCTTTGACTTTCTTACACCTTAAGCATATAGATGGTTTTTATGGTTTTTACTGGACATGAACATTACCCAAGAAAATGCCAGGGAAGACGGGTGCGAGCCGTAACCTGCTCTGCAGGTGGGGACTACAGCTGGAACGGACTCCTGGTGGTGCCTGCCTCCCAGAAGGGCCCCCCCCCCGCCCCCAGGAGAGGTGGCTTGCAGAAGTGCCTTGGATCCCTCACCTGTGGTCACTTTGTTTGTTGGCTCTATGTCCGGGTGACCAGCCATCCTAGTTCTCGCACCCCTAGGCACTCCTCAGCCCTGGGCAAGGGTGATGGTTGGTCCTACTATAGCTCTACTCCTGAGCTCAGACGGGCCTGTGGTGGACCCGGCACCTCCAGAGTGCTGTGTGACGTGGGACCAGCAGCATCCCTTCATCTGTTTCATTTTTGGGGTGTGAATAAGGACCTAGAACTGGCCTCAAAGACAGACTCAAACAGGGAGAGGGTCCTTAGGGACCCTACGCCCAAAGCCTCCACGGACCAGATGGAAAACCAAGGCCAAAGAAGTGGCTTGACCAAACCATGTTGCCTGTCCCCAGCAGTGTGGGAGCCCCACTGTGTGGGCACTCTGGACTCCCTGTTCTGTGCTCTTTCCATCACCCCCTGCTGTTTCCCAGCTGCTCTAGAAATCTACGGGCTGCTCAGCGCAAGGGCTTTGGCCAGAGACAGTCAGCATCATTAACGATGGGGACGGGTTTCAGGTGGTTTTGGAGAAATGCCCGGCTCCCCAGGCCCGGCTGGGTCCTGCCAACCACTGTATTCCTTGGGCACAGACAGGCCCGATGACCAACCATCCTTGGCCAAAAGGCAAAGTGAACCAGGGTTTGGGCCTCTGGGTGTCCAACGTGACTCCACGGCCCCTTTCCCCGCCTGCCGGGGTGGGGGGGCCTTACCGGCCCCCAGCGCAGGATGAACTCAAAGCAGGGTTCCAGCGCTGAGAGTCCCCACTCCCTCACCCACGGCTCCTTCCTCCCACCTCCACCTGCGCTGCCTGACCTTCTCCCGCCACCCTTCTCCACGAAGCCCCAAACGGAGGATGAGATGGCTTGCCCTTGGGAGGAGAGAGGAGGTGGGCAGACGCGCAGGGCGGGCGATCCGCACTCCACGGTGCAAGCCAGAGGCAGCTGGTGTGGTTTCCGACACCCTGACAGCGCCCATTAAATAAAATAACTAAATAGAAATAAAGTGACATTTGCTTTGCATTCCGAGGTGGCTGGGCGCCTGCCTTCTTTTTACTCTCCCTCCTAAAAGCCCAGTTCAAATGACAAATAGTTTGTTGCTGAGTATCAATACCATCTATTTATCCATCCCAGCGGGAGGGCTCACTTCCAATGTCATCTGGGGGGGGGGCTGGGGGGAGGGAAGAGAGGGAAGAAAAAAAGAGAGAGAGAAAGTGGGGGGTGGGGGGGGAGAGGACGAAAGAAAGCATGAAACAGGGCCGAGAAGGAGAAATTGGAAGCAAATGGCCCATGAACTAAACCATGATGTAGAGGCATGATCGATGCTGCAAATGGTTTATTCATCCATCAGATATGGCGGGCCGGCGACTGAATGAACTCTTTCACTGTGTGCCCTATGAAGTTAAAGCAAGTAAATTTCTATCTTTCTTCGCATTAGCTGCCTCATTGCCCTTCAATCAGCCCTCACGGAGGCAGAAAATGGCTCCACCATCTGCCTTCAGACCCTCCCTTCGGCAGGTCTCGGGGCTTTTTTTGGAGAGGGGGAGGGGGCGCCGGTTCCCTTAAGCTCTGTCTCCCCATCTCCTCCCAAGGGGGCCAGGGCGGCAGGGGGGTGGGGTGGGGTGGGCGCAGGAGCTCTCTCTGCCTGGAGGGTAGCACCAGGCCCCTAGCGACTGTCTCCTTATCCCGGGGATCCGGAGGACGATGCCCACCATGCAGGGGGAGTCCCGGGATGCAAGGGAGGGTCCTGGAGTTTAGCCTGGGGGAGCCCCCTGACAAATGAGGGCAGGCCCAGAAAGCCAGACCCTGGGTTCCTCAGCCTCACCCCCCACTTCTCAGTGGGAATGAGGTTTCCTCTCTCTCACACCCAGCCCAGCCCAGCCTTCCTGGCCAGAAGGGAGGGGTCCTGGGAGGATCTTGGCCCCTTCCTCCCCAAACAATCTTAGCCTGCCTGAGGAGGGAGAGAGGGACCCCTGGCTCCATCCAAGATTGAGGTGTAGGGATAGGCCAAGAGCTTTCTATGCTTCAGAAGGGAGGTGCTGTGGTTTCCCACTGTGTGCATGAGGAATCAAAGGCTCAGAGGTTGGGTAACTTGCCCAAGAGTGCACAGCAATAAGTGGCAGCGTCAGGACGCAGACCCCTGTTTCTTATCTCGGGGTGACTGATGCATCAACCTTCCCACCTTGATCGGTGGCAGAATCCTTAAAAAGACACTCTTTAGCACTGACGCATCCATCCACTGCCCTCATGAGCCAGGAGGCCGGAGGGAAAGGACCTGCCTGGGGGTCACAGAGCCATCTATATCCCCACCACTGCCCCAGGGGCCGTGCCTCTGCTCCCCTAGTTCTGGTGAGAGTTCTACAGGCTGTTTGGAGGGGGGGTAGAGGGGACAGCCTGCCCGTGCACAGCTCCGCGTCTGCCAGGCTCAGCCTCGCCCGCCCCCCCTTGGTGCTGACTGACTGGCTAATTAGGGGTGGCTGGCCTGAGTGTCATGGGGTCAGTAGAGCATGAACTGGAAAAACCTGTGGCCAGCAGGCAGCAGCCCCATGGGGCCATCAGCCCCCAGGGGGCAAGGGTGCGGGCTCTCTTGAGTGACACGGTGGGGCAGAGTGGAGTGTGGGTGGGGGTGGGCAGGGGGCAAAACCACAGAGGCAGGAGGGCCAGCTCCCCAGAGAGATATGGGGTGCCCTGGGGGTGAGTCACTTCTCTGGGCCTTGGTTTCTTGGTTTCCTCGCCCATAAAATGAGGACGCATACTGCCAGGAGCCAAGGAAAGTAGGCCAAGAAAATGCTAAACCGAGGCCTGGTCCCAGAACCAGTGGCTGGTAGTTGTTCTATTATCACCAACACTGACTGGGAAGCCGGGTCCCTCCGGGAGCCATCCCAGGACCCCCGGGCAGGGCTCCAGCTCTCCCAGCCTCACCAACACCACCAGGGCATCCTCCCCTCCAGCTGGCCTTCTTGGATCCCCCAGGCCCAGCTGCCCAAGCACACCCCCCTCCCCAACAGCACACTTCTTCCCTAACGTCAGACAAGCAGCCCACCCCACCCCCAAACCAGCCGAGCCAGGGAATGGAGACACATTCCCTCAGGGACAAAGAGATTTTTCTCTTCCCAGGATAGATTTCGTCCTGCCGCACCCCCTCACCCCCCATCTCCCACGGTGGCAGGGGGAGATACAAAGAGAAACCCCCCAGGGAGAGAAATCCTAAACTTCAAACAGGGCCGAGGCCCAGCCTGGCCAGTCTTGGAGGCTGGGGACAGGGGATCAGGGCGGCCTGCCTCGGGCGGGTGTGGAGCACAAACCCAGACAAATGGGTCCTGAGGCTCTAATTTGTGCCACCCCCCCACCCCACCCCATTGCGGCAGCATCGGCCTGAGAGCTGGTGGGCACAGGCTGGGCCCTCCCACAAGTGTCTCATCTGCCTAATTGCTTCTTTATTGTCTTACAATCACACACTCTCTCCATGCTGCCCTGAAATATTTCCTTCCCCTATTCATCCCAGCGGCAATTAGAAAAAGAGTGCGGTGGGGGCGGGGGGGGTCTCAAAATGCAGCAGCATGGAGTAGGCAGGCGGAGGGGGGCCCGGTGGGGAGGATCGGGACGCAGGCAGGGCTCAGCCCCAGGCCCACACCCGGCCCCCGTGAAATTTCAAATTAGGCTACAATCACATCAGACAGCATCGGCACGGAGTAGCTACCACCAAAGACGGGCAGCCGGTTCACAGGAGACTGGGGGGGTGGGGCGGATTACCTTGGGGTTCTCCAGGATTCCAGCCTCGTAGCTGCAGGGGGAGAGGGAGGACAGGGGATCAGGTGGGGAGGGGCAGAGAGACACCCTCCCCCCCAACACGAGTCTGGTCTTCCCTTCTTTCTCTGCCCAAGCAGCTGCTGCCAACCCCGTCTGGAACATTCTGGGCCCACCACAGTTGGCTGTGGGAGCTGCAGTTTGCAAGAAAGAGCCTGGGACATTACCCTCCATCTTCTGGGGCACAGCCCCCGGGCTTCACATCTGGGGGGGACTTCACACATGCTGTTCTCCCTGCTTTAAACATTCTGCCCCCTGCACCTCGGCCAGTCAGTCCCTCCTCATCCTTGAAGTTTATATCTCAAATGTCACTTCCTATGAGAAGCCCTCCCGGATACCCAGCCAAGCCCAGGTGCCTATTATCTCACCCCCTGCCCCCTGGGAGCCCTGCAGCGAGCGAGCAGTGGCTGGGTGAGGGGTGGGGGAGGGGACCGCCACCAAGGCTACTACATCTGCTCTGCGGAGGCAGATGCTCCCGGAGGTGGGACAGGGCAGCGCACAGGTGGGACGTCTTGCTTACCTGATGTGCATGAGGTTCTCGTCCATGCTCCACGGGTTCTTGGGGGTGACCGGGATGGGGATTCCGTGTTGCTGTGGGTGACAAGTGACATGGGGCCTGCGTGAGGCAGCTTGAAGTTGGCCTGAGGGTCAGGCCCAGCTGCCTTGGTTTTCTTACAAGGCTGTGCACGTCCCCAAACTCTGGTCCTCATGCAGTCAAGACCGCCCCCCCACCCCCCTGGCGTCCTTCCTCTCCCCACACCCCCGGCTGCCTGGGGAATGAGTGAGGACTCCATTACTGGACATGCCCATGCAGAAACTACAAGATTGTGTGTCTGAGATGGCATGGGGTGGATACTGACCTTGGGGTTCCTTCCAGAAGATTCTCCAAATCTGTACTTCACAGGCCCTGAAGCACTAGAACGTGCCAAGCAGTGTGCCAGAGGCTTCCCACTTGCTGACCCCCCTCTGCAACCCTATAAGCTGGGGGCAGCAAGGGTCCAGACTTCCACTGTAGATCTCAACCAAGGCATCTGCGCCCACCCGGTACTTAATGTTGCCCCGGGGGAGGGGCTTCTAGCTCCTGGCACCTGTTTATGGTATCCACCTGACACGTTCTGGGAGCCACCCCTCTCCCCCTGCCTGGCACAATCACCATGCACATCACTCTGCAACCCTCTAAAGAGCATCCCGGGTACATCCCGTACCCCCCTCTATCCTCTCCTAGTGGTTCTAATTATGTCTTGTCTCCCAAATGCTTCCATTGTTGAAGGAGAAAACTCATCCCAACCGAGACCCTGGGTCTGAAGGCTGTTGGCGATCACTCTGAAGGCCCACCTCACTCAGCCTTTTGGATTAAGGACAAGGCTGACCCCTTAGCCACCCCACGCTGCCGTGGCTTGACACCTGGTTGGAATCCAACACACACATTACATTCTGCTTTCCCCTCCCCTCGCTTATGGGGCACAGAAGCAGCTAAGTGGCCCAGCCAGGCCCCTGTGAGGCAGTGAGACCCGACACTTTGCTTCCCAAGCCCCTTTTAGCACCTTGCCCCCCCTCCCCGTGGTCCTAGAACCTGGCCAGCCCCGGTCCCTGTAGCCCCCACCAGCATCACCCCGTCTGCCCCGATGGGGTTACCCTGATGGCACTCCGTCCCACTACGGGAGGAGTCCAGCCTCCTCCAGGTTTTCTTTATTACCACCTTAAAATTTCAAAATAAATGAAGATAAAACCTTCCAGCTGTTTTTTTTTAAGTTTTACCAGGGGAATTGCTTTAAAAGACAGTCCATATCTATTCTAGGATTTGCATACTCTTCATTTTAAACCACATGGGCAAACAGGAACACCTCATTTAGAGGGTGCTCAATGTTGGGGGGGCCACTCGCCTCCCCCCAGAGTTGCCAAGCATCAAATGTACATGCTGCCCTTGGGCTCCCTCCAGGTAGAGGGGGCCAGGTGTGAGGACCAGGACCCCCTGCAGGAGCAGGAACCCCGCCACCATCCCCCCCCCGGCTGGGGGCCGAGAGAGCCGGCAGATGGGTTCCCTGCAGCCTTTGTTTTGGGGAGGGGTTTGGAAACACTTTTGCCTTCTTTCCCACTGGTCTCCGTGGTCGTGGTGGGAACAAGGAGAGGAGAAAGGGGGGGAAGGCTGGAGGACAAGGATGGGCAGCCCCTCCTCAGCAGGGAGAGACACACACATATGCCAAAAATAGCAGTCCCTTGACCAAAGAGATTTTTATCCCCCTGGCCCCCCAAGAAACTCTCACTGCAACTGAGGACAGAAAACAAAACCACCTTCCACAAGTACACAGGCGACCACCCTGCTTTCCAGCCCCCTACCTTGTACACTGGCCTTTTAAAAGAAATTGATTACGGTGAGATGCTAACGACGGATGATGGCTGGGGTGGGTGCGGAAAGTGGAGTGAATGTGTGTTTGTGGGTCTCCTACCGCACCTTTTGGCCTTGGCAACTTACAGGTCTTGAAAACAGGGGGTTTTCAAAGCGCCATTGATTTTTGTCTTGTCTGAATCAGCTGCCTGGCTCTGCATTTTGGACAAAGCCCGGTTGCTGCTCAGTTATTCTGGTCATTTCCTGGGTGCAGAAACGCGGCCTCCCTCCTCGAATGTGCTCAGATTCCCCGGAGCTCAATGCAGATACCAGCCGCCCAGGGAGGCTCTGAGGCCTGGGGTCCCCCAGACTCCTTTCCTCGTGGAGCTTTCCTGTTCCAAGGTTACTGGGGATAGAAGCTCCGTGAAGGGGCTTCTTCCCCCAAATCTGGGAAGGAGGGCCAACAACACTCCTGAAATTCATCTTTGTTGGGAAAACCAGGAGTCGCTTTTGTTTGGGGCTTAACGGAAATGAAGGGCAAGGCACGGGTCACCCTGGCCTTCTCTTGAACCAGGACCACAGTCGTGAGAATGGAGACGGGGTGGGGGGGTTCCAATTCATTATACTTAAAGATGAAACGTGCTCCATATTCTGTATTGAGGAGACGAAGGGGGGTGGGAAGCCTCGTCAACCTCGGTTCTCTTAATAGCTCTGCTATTTGACAATTTGTTTGGCAACATATGGGCTTGCTCTTGTAAACTCCCCTCTTAATAATAAAACAACAGATGGTACAGGAGATCTTTCCTCTGAGCCCTCCAGGTCTTAATGGGATGCTGGCGGCAGGGGCAAAGCTGTGTCCCTGCCGTGTCCCCTACCACGCGGCACCTTGGCTGCTGGAAGAGCTCACAGCCAGCCCCAGTGACTGCTATTTAAAACCCAAGCAATTTTCTGGTGTGTGCACCGAGTTGCTTTTCCCCCCGTCTGATTGATTGAGGCTGTTTGTCAAGGGCTGCCATCGAGTCGCTAAAAAGAAAGGTACCCCGGGGAGAGGCTAAGGATCTTGATGCAAAACTTCTAATATGTTTTATTGCAACTTGTACTTCAAAAGGGCTGGCTCGACAAAAGCCTTTGTCTGCCACTGCCCCTCGGAGCGCCTACCTGCTCCTGGCAAAGCACCGGGGACAATGAGCAGCCAGGTAATTTTGGGCCAGAGAGCACCTCCCTCACACCTCCCACAGAGGTGGCAGGAGAATGGGAGGCAGACTGAGGACTCTCGTGGAGATGCCCAGCCCAAGCAGTGACCGCACCTCTGTGGGGCCAGCCCCCTGGGGACAGGTGCCACCTGGGGGGGGGTCAGCTGGGGCAGAGATTTGGTCCTCTCCCCTACCGCCCCCCCGGAATGGGGATCAGCCCCAGCCTGGTGCTGCTGGTCCAGGTCAGCCCCTCCAGAGGGATATGCCCCCAGGGGGCAGTAGGCAAGGGCTGGGGGTGTTAGGGGAGACTCAGCCATACCTTTGCATACTCCATCAGATCATTGCGGCCCTGGAACCGGTTGTAGAACTCGGGCATCCTCCAGGGGGCGATGACCTGGGCGTGGAGCAAGGAGTCAGATGCGGGAGAGCCCGGATCTTGGCTTCTGCTGGCCCTTCCGATGCAGAGCTGGCCCCTGTTAAGGAGCCCGGGACTCCCACTGCTCACCTGGAGTCTCCTGTTGCATCCTCCCCAGAGAGGACACAGTTCACATTGGGTGGGCAGAGGTGCCCCATCAGGCAGGGGAAGGACAGGACCTGTTACACTGGGGGTGGCTGTGTAGAGGCCTGGGCTCCATGGCATGTCCCCTGGTTGGGTTCCTGCCCTTCAAGGCTTCAGTCTCTCTGAGACTTGAGGGTTCGACCTAGACAGGCCTCATATTTCTTGCTAGCAGAGGGCTAGCACACCCGCCCCTACCCCCTGGTGACTCAGGGAGGATTCACGTTGCTGCAGACGCCCAGCCGGGCCCTGCTCCAGGACAGTGGGGCCCAGAGACAACAGACAGTGCTCTCAACGCATTTCTCTTGCTTTCCTCCCTCCTGATCCCCAGAGCTGCTCTGTGTGGGGAAGGGAGGGGAGTCGGAGCCTGACTGGGGGCACTGAGCTCGTTTCACAAGGGCTCCATCAGCCTGGAGGTGGAAAGCAGGTCCCCAGGAAGAGCCCCCACCCAGCCCTGGAGCCAGCGGGGCCCTGCCTCTGTGGGTAAGCTCTCCCGGGGCCCCCGCCTTAGAATGAGCAGCCCCTGGAGCAGGCCTGGCCCTGGGAGCTCCCAGAGACCAGCTGTGGCCCTCACCCCCGCTCCCTTGGCTCGGCCTCTGCGGACAAAGATTCAGAAACCGGACACCTGGCCCCCCAAGCTACTGTGGGAACCTAGAGAGTGGGGGTCAGGAGAAAGCCCCCGTGGCCACCAGCCTGCAGCGGGCCAGCTAGCAGCCACTGGGAGAAGGCTTCTTAGCTGCTCAGTGTTTGGGGTCAGAATGGATCATTAGAGCTCGTCACCTCCAGGCCACCCCCACCCAGCAAGCAGCTGCTGGCCAGTTAAAGGGACAGAGGAAGATTTTCCACTTAAAAAAAAAGAAAGAAAAAAGGAACCCCCTGAGGGCCCTGTCAGAGCTTAGGAGGAGGCACATCTTCTGCAGCCTGAGCCCCAGGTGACCTCTAAGGAGCTCAGACCTAGGCTGGTGCTGTCTAGTCCGGCGGCCAGAAGCCACCTATGGGTCCCGAGGCCTGAGACGTGGCTGGTGCCAACTGAGATGGGCTGCCGTGGCAAGGCACACACGGATCTCAAAGACTTCGTACAAAGGATGGAACACATCTCATGAGGAAGGTTTTCGCATCCATGACAGGCTGAATGATACCATTTGGGTACACAGGGTTCCGTAAAATATATATTAAAATAATGTCACCTGTTGCTTTTTATCTCGTTTTTTTGTTTGTTTGTTTTAACAGGGCCACTAGAAAAATCTAAATCACCCATAGGGCTCACATTGGTTACACACTACAGCTCTGTATGCCTGGAGCCTGGCCCAGGGCCTGCACTGAATGGGCACCTGGTGCATACCGAATGAAGGAAGGAAGGAAGGAGTGGATGGACAGACAGAGGGACACAAGCCCAGGGCCAAGGCCAGGCTGCAGGGGGCAGGGGTGGCTGTGGCCGGCTGGACAGTTGTGATGTGGGCTGTCACGCCTGGGTGACAGGCCACGGACAGGGGTGGCTGATTCCCCCAGATCCTGGTGATTCCCATCCCAGGAAAGGGCTCCAGGATGCTGGGGCTCAGGCAGCCAGAGCAGAGCCAGGGCCTTAGCTGGGTGGCCCCGACCAGGGTTGGGTGGGCCATGAGCACCCCAGAAATAGTGCAGCAATGTCCCAGCCTGCACCCAAGAAGCCAGACCTGGGAACGCCGAGGACAGTGGCCAAAGGGCGGCCACGTCTTTCTGTCCCACGCCCCTGTCTACCCAGGCCCCTGGCAGCACCTCTGGGAAGGGCTAATGGTCAGAGAGAGTGCTGTGCCCTGCATCTGGCATGAGCCCACGGTCTCTCCACGAGCAAGAGGGGCACCACCCACCGGGAGACTCAGGTGCACTCTGTCCCTGCCCGTGGAAACTCCCAGAACTCCATACCCTGCCCTCCCCCTACCCAGGGACCTTAGCTCCCAGCACCCACCCCGAGGGGAGGGCAGCATCTTACCTTAATCTGAGGGGCCAGTGAGTAGCAGGTGAGCTCAAACCGGACCTGGTCATTTCCCTGAAACAAGGAACAGGGGGTGGTCAGGAGCCGTAGAACAGGGGCGGGGGACAGGAGCAGCGCCTCACGACTGCTGACCACCTGCCTGGAGGAGCCGGGCGGCCTGGGTGCTCGGGTGTGTGCGGGACAGGATGCTCGCGTGCCCGGCGGCGAACGCCACGACTTCTGTGCGCGCCGTGCTGTGTGATGTGCGCGAGGGGGCGCGTGGGGGGCGTGTGCACGCGTATGGGTGGGCATGCGGCAGGACGGGGACGCACACGTTTGGGGACATGGCAGGGCACGCACCCGTCTTGTCACGTATGTGCACACTTTGGGGGGCGCTCACGCGTGTGCGAGGCCGGGGGTCTGGCCCTGCCGAGATCCCGGTCCTTCTCTAGGCAGCCCCCGGCTGCCCACACCTCGGCCTCTTCCTCCAGTTTTCCTCCCTGTCTGGCCTCATCCGCCCCAATCCACGGATCGAGTCCGGGGCTCGGGCTCCATGGTGCTTGGACTCCTCATATCCATAAAATTGGGAAGCCCGTCGCCTCGGTGAGCCTCAGTTTCCCCATCTACAATCGCCACTTGGCAGGGAATGGGTGGGCCACTGAAGGCCCTTTGCTCCTCGGCTCCGCTCTGTACAGATGGGAAACCGAGGTGCCAACAGAAGGGACTAGTCAAGGGCCCCCGGCCCCCACCAGCCCGCGAGGGATGCCCAGCCTCTCTGCGCCCGCGTCGTCCGCTGTGCAATGGAGACTCGTCTGACCCCCCGGCGCACAGACGACACGGAGGAGGGAGAGGGGGCCGCAGACCCGGTGGCTGCCAGCGACCCGCCTGCTTCCCATCAGCTCGGCCCCCGGAGGGGGCGCTTAAGCTGTGGAAATAACAGAGGGACCTTCCGCCTACTGTGAAAACTGAATGGGCCCAGCGAGGCGGCGGCGGGAATGACATGTTATTTTCCAGAGTCTCGTCAGGTGGTGCGGAAATGCAGGTCTCGGCCCCTCTGGGTGGCGGAGCCAGGAGCCCGGGGGCTGAGGCTGCCCCCCGTCCCATGCCTCTCGGGGCCATGAGCTGCGCCAAATCCACCACCCCACTCGCCCGCCGACCCAGCCCTGTCGTGAGCACCCACTGTGCGCTCGCGGTCTCAGGGGTGAGCCACCTGGGGCCAGTGGGGTATTTCCCCCTGCTTCGCTGACGATGAAAGCGAGGCTCAGAGAAGTGATGTCGCTTGCCCGGGGTCACACAGCCAACAGACATTTCTGTCCTAAGAGCTCATATTCAGGTGACCGGTCTGAGCCCCAGACTTAAACTCATTGAAGCCTTACAGCTGACAGCAGCCCCCAGAAGCAGGTTCTACTATTATCCCCACCTACAGGTGGGGAAACTGAGGCACAGCCGGTAAACGTGCCCAAGGACCCTGTGGCTAGCCCACTTCCTGGAGCAGCTACAATAAATGGTAGATCCATTTTAGATTTGTAAAGCACATGGTATTGCCTATCCTGGTGAGTTTTCCCCATGGCCTCATGTTCCCCTACAGGCCCGCTGGGCTGGTGTCTGCCCACTCAGACCCACATGGGGACACCCATCTGTTCCAGAGTCAGAGACCCTCCCAGAAGCCAAACGGCCTCCCTTGGTTCAAACTCTGTCCCAGATTAAGAGCCACGGTGGGTCCAGTCCTTCCTCCCCCTCACCCCAGGACCCTCTGCAACCAGGGCAGCTCCCCGGAGCAGGAGAGGGGGGGATAGCTATCCTCCACATCATGTGTGTCCACGTGCTGATCCACGTGCAGGCGTGTGTAAGTGTGGGTGCAGTGCCCACGGGGACCGGAGGGGCTGGGGTGGGGGGTGGTCTGCCCATCTGTTCCTGGGCCAGCCATACAGATGGCGCCATTTACAAAACTGCTCCCCATACCCCTGCCAGAGTCTGGCTCATATTTCCAGGCCCTTCTTCCAAAACTGGGGGGAGGAGGCCCTGGAAGGGCCACCCCAGCTTCTGCACAGCTCTCTGGTAGGGAGGGAACAGGGCGGGGCATGGAGGGTGGACCCCAGCTCGAGCTCTGTAGCAGGTGCTGCCCAGTTGGGCCCTGGGAGGGATGCTGCCTCCCATCTCCAGGCCTTTGCAAGGGCTGTTCCTGCGGCCTGGGGTGCTCTTCCCCTTTGGTGTCACTGGCTAACTCTTGCCCCCCACCGTGGCCCACTCCCTGCTGGGTCAGGGCTCCTAAGTCCCTGGGTGTCTCCCCTAGCCCATCCTGTACCAGCGAGCCCATGCATGGAGGAGGGCCAGTGCTGGATAAATATGCAGGGAGTGAATGAATGAACACACGCATGAATGCAACCTCTGGGAGGCTGGAACAAGGGCCCCTGGGCCCTGGTTGCCCCCATCGGTGACTCAGGAGCCAGTAGCTGGGAGAGCCCAGTGGCTGTTTCCACATGGCCACAGCCTCAGGACTGGCCACGCTGGAATCTTCATATCAGTGGGGGGAGCCCCTGCAGTCTGCTAATGGCCCAGCTTCCTCTGCACCGTGACCCCCTTGCAGAAAACTACGAAGTGGTCCTCTGGTATCTCTCTGGGCTTGCCAGTCCGACCCCACCGACCTGGGTTCTTCCATCCGGGACCACAAGCCTCCCGCCCTTGCTCTGGAAGTCCACCTCCTGAAATGTAAAGTCACGGACGCCCGCCCCCAGCCCACCAGGCCACAAGCCACGGCAGGCCACCGGCCCCTCTCCCCCCACCTTCCTGCCTCAAACAGCATTTCTCTGGACCCCGCCCCAGGCCTGCCTGGTTCTCCCTATTCACACCCCTCAGTTCTAGGAAATTGTCTTCAGAGACGTTGGGGGGCTTCCCCAGTTTCTGTAAATAGGGGAAACTAAGGCACGGGACTAAGCCTTGCCCATCAACCCCAGAAGAGATGGAGATCCAGGGTAGCACTGTACCCCTCCCCTCCCACGGCCTTCCAACCTCTAGTCTTGGAGGCCACAGAAGCTCCGGAAAGGGTGTTCTTTTCAGAACCCCAGTCCTGCGGACCCTGGTAGGGACCAGAGGAGCCTGGGGGGTGGTGGCCTTTCCAGATGCTTTTCTTGAGGGTAAGCAACCCAAGGCCTCAAATCCAAGCCTCTGGTGCCCTCTTGTGGCCAAATGGAGCAGTGCACACAACTGCAGGGGGCTACTCTCGGCTTCAGTGGGGCTAGTGTTGGGGGGTCTGTCTCCCCAGACCCTTGAATCTCCCAAGCCAGGGCCAGACCCACCACATGCACACGTTCACTCCACAAGCCCTGAATGCCACCTATCCTCAGTCCTGGGGCTACCACTGGAGGGACCCTCTCCGGGCAGGAGCCCTTCCAGAATCCTGATCTGGCCTCAGCTTAAACATCTCCTGGAATAGGGAGCTCACTGCTCAGCCCATTTCAATACAGGCAGATGAGATGGCTGGGAAGCTTCTTTATTCTGCACTCACATTTGTTCTCATTGACCTTCTTCTGCCCACAGGAGCCCCCAGTATAGGTCTGATCATCAGATGAATAGGGCACTCCCCTCCAGTCTCAAGTGAATCATTCCCTGCATGCCAGGCCCCTGCCAAGAACTTATGCAATTATCTTACTCATTGCTCCCAAACTGCACCATCCACTCAGGGGCCGGAAGTTGGGCGTGTATCACGGGTTGAGTTGTGTCCCCCACAGAAGAGAAGTTGAAGCCCCAGCTCCCAGTACCTGAGAATGTGGCCTTATTTGGAAATAGGGTCTTTATAGAGGTGATGGAGTTAGGTTGAGGTCACTAGAGTGGGCGCTAATCCCCATATCACTGGTGTTCTTATAAAAGGGAGGAATTTGGACACAGAACCAGAGGGCAGAAGAGGGACGATACACAGGGCGAAGACAGCCATGTGCTTGTGGAACACCAGAGCGTCGCATCTACAAGGGCAGAGCTGTCCCTACAGAAGCCCGGAGAGGCCCGGAATGAGCCTTCCTAGCCCCTTCAGAGGGTGCGTGGCCCTGCCCACACCTGGGCCCCAGAACTGGGAGACAACCCATCTCCCTGGCTGGAGCCGCCCCCTGTGTGGTGCTGGGGTGTGGTAGGCCTGCACGTTAAGACAGGGCTCCCCCTGCCCCCTCCCCTGTTTTTGCAAATGAAGAACCCGAGGCTGGTGGAGGGGAAGGGCCTCCCCAAGGGCCACACAGCTGGGATCAACCCCTCTTTGCTAACTCGGGGTTTCCGACCCTTTCCACTACATCGCATGGTAACCTCCTGTGCTCTGTGACCTGGCCCGGTGGCGGATGTCCCTGAGCAACCCGCTCCCACTGGAGGCAGAACCCGCCCACGGAACCCACAGCACACAGCCGTTACCACTCCCGGATTCCCGCTCCTACGGCTCTTGTTCCTCCTGCTCAGACCGGACTGGCAGTGGCCGCTGCATGCCTGACTCTCCGGGGGGCAAAGCATGCACCTGCTCAAGGGCTGTGGGCCGCCCTGGCTGCCTGAGTCCCCTTGGCAGGTTCCCCTGCCCTCTCCTCCCCTGCCCTGCTCTCCCCAGCACCATCCATCTGTTGCCTCACCTTTCCCGTCGCGCCGTGAGACACATACTTGGCTCCCTCCCGCTGGGCAATCTCCACTTGTTTGCGGGCGATGCAGGGCCTGGCCAGAGAGGTGCCCAGGAGGTAGCGGTCCTCGTACAGTGCGCTGGACTGGATGGCGGGCCAGATGAACTCCTCCACAAACTCCTTGCTGACGTCCTCAATGAACACCTACAGGGAGAGGAGCCCATGGGAGGGAGGCTTGGCAAGGATGGGGCCCAGCCAGAGGACAGAGCCCCAGGGGCCTCCGATGGCCTGCATCTACAGCAGACACTACTAATGGATCCTGTAGTAGACATCTTCAATCAGTGCTAGCATACAGTACCATTAGTCCCCTCCTGCACTCATAGCAGACATGGCTAATCAATCCTGATCTCCATCTAGCTGAGACTGGATGTGGTTCTTAAGTCCCTCCCAGCACAGCATTCTGGGCTGGAGAGGAAACTTATCACCTAAGATCTAGAGCAGTCGATAGTAGACGGTAATCCACAAAGCTCTCAACCGGGGATGATTTTGTCTCCCAGAGTAGTGGCAATATCTGGAGATATTTTTGGTTGTCACAACTGGTGGGTTGGGGGAGAGGGATTCTGGTGTCTCATGGGTAAAGGCCAGGGATGCTGCTAAACATCCCACATTGCTCAGGACAGCCAGCCACATGCCAATAGTGCCAAAATTGAGAAGCCCTGATCTAGAGGAATGGTTCTCAAAATGTAGACCTCTGGACATCCTCAAGACCCCTTCAGGGAGACTGAGCAAAACGACTTTTTATAGTGATCCTAAGGTGTTATTTGCCTTTTTCACCAGGTTGACATTCACACCGAATTTGCAAAAGCAATGATGGGTACAGGGGCTGGCTGCTCAGCACAAATCAGGGCAGAGACGGCCGCTGTGTTCCTAACGTCTCCCTTCTACAGTGACAATTTCACCTGAGAAGAAGCTGTCTTGAAGCCATAAAAATGATGACTTTGTTGCATCTCGAGCACAGAAGGAGAAATACACACGAAACACTTCTGTTGCATTCCAAAGCGAGTTACAAGCTGAACTAGCCACTTTTTTCATAGAACATCGTTCTTACTTGAAAGAATGACTGACAAATTATGGTCTTTCAGACTTGAGCGTTTGGCCAACGGTTTCACAAAAATGAAGTGACCTTGTCACTTCAGGGAAGACTGAGTACTTGTTGCCAATGATAAAATTAGGGCTTTCCAGTTAAAATCAGAATTATGGACAACTTGCCTCTGTCAGCTTCCTAATATTTCTGTGAGTAGTGGCAAGACCGACAAATGTGAAGTTCTGATATTTTATAATGAAACATAGCAACATTTGGGAGATCTGCATAACTCAATTAAACAATAGCTTTCAAAAGACCAACGCATGATGTCACACAATCTTGCATGGTGAAAAAATCCACCCAAAGTGCAAGATGGACCAGAGGATTTTAATGCATGAAAAATTCATTGTACAGTTTCAGTTTCCCCATTGCACTAATCTTTAAGAAACTACCCCTTGTTGACTTTTGATGCAGTATCCAAGAATATCCCCAACTCTCTGAAAAGGCTATTAAAATATTCCTCACTTGGAGCACCTGGGTGGCTCAGTCAGCTGAGTGTCTGACTTTTGGTTTCGACTCAGGTCATGATCTCAGGGTTCTGGGATCAAGCCCCATGTTGGGCTCTGTGCTCAGTGAGGAGTCTGCTTGAGATTCTCTCTCTTCTTCTCCCTCTTCCCCTCCCCCCTCACTCACGCACCCATGCTCTCTCTCTCTCTCAAATAAATCTTTAAAAAAAAAAATATTCCTCTCTCTTCCAGTGTTACATTCATGAGGCCGTATTTTTTCCACATGCAAACCAGAACAACACATCACAAAATGGAGACACAGCTACAAGAATCCATCTGTCTTCTGTTAAACCAGACATTAAGAGATTTAGAAAAATGTAACACAATGCTACTTTTACCAAAAATTCTTGTTTTGGAAATAGTTACTTTTCTGAGGTAAAAATGTCAACATTTTATGTTAACATATAATGTGTTCAATATTATTCTTTTAATTCTAATAATATTAATATTATTCTTTTAAAATGGGTTAATATTTTAAAAATTTCAGCTTTTATTTATACTATGATGATATCAATAGACGTAATCCACAAAACTCTATGGGGCACTCAGTAATTTTCAAAAGTGTAAAGGGGTCACAGGATTCTTTGTATTATTTTTGCAACTCCCTGTGAGTCCATAATTATTTTAAAATAAAATTTAAAAATTTTTTAAAAATGAAGCAAAGAACGAAAGAAAAGGAAAATTAAAAGAAAAGCAATGGGGACTATACCCTGAAGGTATGGGCAAGAAATTTCAATTCCAAACAAATACATAAACGTATATGGGAGCCTGAGAGGACAAGGTTAAGAATCTGATCTAGGGTAATGAACTAAGGCCAAATCTTTACACGAAAGCCCAACTGATGTGAAAGCCCAACTCATTTTCAACACTCAAATGTTCTTACTGCACTTTCTGGGCTCCTGCTCAGACAACTCCTCTCCTCTCTGAGACTCAGCGGACTCCTGACCAAGGAGGGATATCCAGTGTTGGGCGCATGGCCAGTGATGGGATGTGGGACTCATTCATTCATTCATTTTAAGGTACTACTATGTGCCAGGCTCCTTTTTAGGTTCTGAGAACCCCACAGAAGTGCCCTGCAGAGGGGACCAGTTCTGAGCAAGCAGGTGGGCTGGTGGCCTTTCACAACATCCCTGTTATGTCCCCCTGCCCATTTGCCCAAGTGAAGGGGCGAGGGTGCCACGGACGTCCCCATGGGAGCAGCTCAGACTTTATACTGTGAGCCTATGTGAGAAGGGACCACGTTGGCTCTGTTCACCATCTGGGCTCTGCACCCAGCAGAGGGCCTGCCCGCCACATGATTAGATGCTCAGTCAATGCACTGAATTCAACTGGAACTTTCTGATTCTGCTGAATGGTTGGAAGGATGGACAGAGATAAAAGAGGAATGGGCAGGGCATCCACCTGGCTGAAGGATGGATGAAAGGATGGTTGGATGGAGAGTTGATGGTTGGATGGATGGATGAGTGGATGGATGGATGGATGGATGATTTGTAGTTGGGTGGAGGGATGGATGAGTGAGTGGATGAGTAGAGGGATAAAAGAGGGATGGATAGGTGGATAGGTGGATAGGTGGATGGATGGATGTGGAGGAGGAAGATGGATGAGCAGGTGGTGGGGCAGGGAAGAGTGCCTAGGGAAGGCAGGGAGATGATGGTGCCCACATGCCTGGAAACAGAAGGAATCGATCTCATACTCTTGGAAGCAAGAGGACCAACTGGAAGGGATGTAGACGACAAGGAACTCTGAGACAGCAATGCCCACTGCTGCCCCCACATGTCAGAACCCCACTCCCAGCCCCAAACCCTGCCTCCACTTGGTACCTTTTTGGCCCCGAGCTTCAGTGCCTTCTTCCTGGCTTCCTCAAAGTCTTCCTTCTGGCCGATGTTGGCCTGAGAAGCAGAAGCAGAGAGGCCTCATCAGCCCAGTGGCATAAAGGAGAGTGGGGGAAGAATTTCAGCCCCCCTGGGCAAGAGCTCTCTACAGCACCCCTCAAACAGAGGTGCTTTCCATTTGGGGGGCCAAGGTCACAGTTAGGAAGAGAAAGGCACAAAGCAGGGTCCGGAGAAGATGGACTGCTTCCAGGAGCTGACACTTGGCCCTGCCTGGATGTGCTGGGAAGCAGTTCCTAAGGGTCGGAACACTAGAGGGGCCTGGCCCTGTTCACTGGGCTGCTGGGACCCGGCATTTGCTGTTATTGCCTTGAAGGTCTCGGGCTTCCCTTAAACCCATCTATCTCTTCCTGAAAACTCCCCCAAAGCCAGTACTGAGGTTGCTGTGTCAGAAAGTGTGGCAACCCCCGGGGGATTTCTGCAGCTGAGCACAGCAACTTGACCATCCCAAGGCATCTGGGCAGGCAGGAGGCCATCCCTGCTGTTGGAGTCCGACTTCTCTGACAGCCCCCTCTGCAGACACCAGCGTGTTTTCTGCTGGCCGCACTCTGGCCTGCTGCCCAGATTTCGACCCTGCATTCTGCTCACCAGATTCTGGAATCTTCTCAGAGCCCAGCTGCAGGTTTTTTCTGAGGTCACTCAGTTTTAAAATCTGCATAGTGGTAGCCGGGCTTCTGGACCGCCCCACTATGCTGCCATCGGCAGGACCCACACACACCCTGGGGTCCTTGGATGCCCCCAAAGCTGAGACTCTCACCTGCCAGGGGGCTGTGAGCGAGGTGCTTCCCCTCCCTGGGCCTCACTCTTCCCTACCTGAGGGACAAGGGGACTGGGCACTATGAGGTGATATGGACTTTAACTGCAAACCAATCAATGCTGGCAACAGCTGAACTTTGGTCTCTGCAGAGCAGCATCCTCACTTCCTCTGGGCCCTCTTGCCATAGGAAGGGAGGGGAATAAATCATGTCTCCTGCTCATTGTAGGGACAAGCCCAGGATCCAAGCCCAGATGATCAGAACCCTTCAAGACACAGCCATAGTAACCAATGTGTGGCAGGCAGTGGCTCGGGCAATGAGAATGCCCCTTGGGCCCTCCCATCAGAGCCTCTGCAGGAAGCCCTCCTTTCTCTGGGAGAGCCAGGCTACGATGACGTGAGCCTTGCCTGCCCTGTGGAGAGGCCAAGAATGAAGCCAAATAGAGGCAGAAGCAGATCTGGATATGCACCTGGATCCAGCCTTGCCTGAAGCTGTCAAAGCCCAGATTTCTCAGTTACACAAGCCAAGAACTATCTTGTTTTTTGGTTTGTTTTGCTTGAACTGGTATAGGTTAGATTTTTAGAATTTGCACTCAAAAGAGTCCTGAATACATGGAGAAGGATTCAGAAGCAACGTCCAGTTCATTAGAAATGGAGCCGGATTGATCAGGGATGCCTGCTGGACCCAGCATGGGGGAGTGGCATCACACATAACCTACCCTAGGACTAGGTGGTCTCTAGCAGCTTTGCTAGCTCAGCCGCTTCAGGATTCTGTAATCTTTGCAGAATTACTGGGGGCTGACAGGGGACTTCCGGAAATGGGAAGAGTGTGTGCTTGCCATGGCCTTCAGCAGGCCCACGGTCCCTTGCAGGCAGTCTGGCCGAGTCGCACCACCAAGCTCCTTTCTGGCATTCCTCCCCACCCCCTCGGGCACCCACAGAGAGCTGGCCTCCTCTGTGCTCTGGGGACACCCCAGACCTGGGGTACACCACGGATGTTCATTTTACAGATGAGGAAAGGGAGGCAGAATGACAAGTATGTGCCTACAGTTCAGGGCAGGCTTAGGCAGAATGACAAGTATGTGCCTACAGTTCAGGGCAGGCTTAGGGAGGGGACGCTGGGCCCAGGTGAGTGACAGTGAGCACATGGTCAGCAGGACAAACAGGTAGAAAGACAGACACACTGAGCACCTCCTTACCAGGTAGGCAATGACGTCATAGCCTTGTTCCTTCAGCCACACGAGAATGCAGGAGGTGTCCAGGCCGCCACTGTAGGCCAGAACCACGGAGCCTTTGCTGGACATCTTATCTGGGGGGGTGGGGGGGGTGGTGAGGAAGGACAGTGACACAGAGTCAGCCCATCCCAACCCGCCAGCCCCTGCAAACAGCCCCCACCTTGGCCTTGGGCAGCCTCATCCCCTGGACGAGCTGCCGCTGGAGGGTTGGGAACAAGATGTTCACCTGTCATCAAGGCCAGCCGAGGAGCTGGTCCTTCCCGCAGCCTCACCCTCTCCACCCCCACCCCTGGGGGACCGACCTCACCACGGCACGCACGCACCCCACACATGCAGGGTCCTGGGAATACTGACAGTAGCTTGGGGCTGACGGGGTGGGGGGGGCACCCAGTGGGGTGGAAAGCATGTCTTGGAGCCAATCCCCCACCAGCTAGAGAAAGCACATGAGGCTGAGCTGTTAGGACGAGGCCAGGATGCTCGGCAGACATGGGTGGGGCCGCTCGGAGTGTGCCAGGCATAGTCCTGGGGGCCTCGTGTAGCTCGCCCTGCACCCCAACCATGACCCCATGAAGTAGCTGCTGTCGTGCCCCCTGGGGAGACAGAGACTGGGGCTCAGACAGGTGAGCAGCCTGCTCAAGGTCACAGAGCACATGCCAGGGCTCTTCCCAGCATGCAGTGCTGCCTCCCAGCTGTAGGCAGAATAGGATGCTGGGGTGCAGCGCTCCTGCCTCCATGTACCTCTCCCACTGGGGGCCCCACCAAACCCTCCCGCACTGGGACTTTAGACTCTTTTCAAATGCAAGCCCCTCTGGGAGGGTAAACGAGAGACCCAGAGCACCTCAGTGACCAACTGTTCCGGGGCGCAGATGCAGACACTGAGTCCCAGAGAAGGAAGGAACAGGCAGAGGGAGGTCCTTCCTGGAGGTATAGATCATAGATCTGTCCCTCTGCAGCAGGGACGGGTGTGTCCCACCCTATCTGTCTCCTCAGCTACACTGAGGCACCAGGGGCTCCTATCTTCTTGCCTTTGCAGCTGCTGTTCCTTCTTCCAGAAGGCTCTCCCTGAACCCTCGGGCTGTGTTGGGGCTCGCCCTGCCTCCCCCAGCACTCTCCCCGTGGCCCTGAGAGTCAATGCCATCATTGTGCCCCCTTTGCTAAAGAGGAAAGCGAGGGTCACAGAGGTGCAGGCACGTGCTTGAGGTCAGATGGTCAGCAGGCAGCGGGACCAGATGTGGAATGAGGCCATCTGGTCCCAGCATCCCTGGACATGGCCCCAGCATCCTGCATTTACAGGGGGGACGCCTGTGTCTGGTGAGAGCATTTGCACCAGAGTCTGACCAAGGTCAGGGTCCTTATTAGATACTCTTGAGAAAAGCCGTGGACACCCCTCCACAGAGCCATGGAGCCCAGAAGGGGCACCCCACCATGGCTACCTGTGTACGGAAAACCTCCCCCGTGCCTGGAGGTCCAGAGAGGTGCTGTCCTGGTCACTCCACCCTGTGTGCAGAGCCTGGACAGAGCCCGACGTGCCTAGAACACACGTCCGCTGTGCAGATGCAGCTCACAGGCCCACCCACCTGCCGGCCCCAAGGCTCACACCCCTGTGGCCTTTTGGACACAGAAGGGAACAGCGAGGTTGGAGGGGGTGTTTCGGATGGATGTATACGACTTTTGCCTCCACTGGGCATTCGACCACCTGCCAGGCCCTGTCCCCGGCCACCTGGTTTGCTGGTGACTCAGCAGACCCTGACCCCGGGGCCAGGAGATGGTGCCCATGGCAACTGCAGCCAGGCAACAGGCCACCAAAAATGGAGGGAGGGAGGAAAGAGGGAGGGAGGCAGAAGGGACCCAGAAAGTACCTTGGATTGGAGATGTGGGTTCCCGGCTTCTGGAATCTGACTTCGCGGCTCCGTGAACCACTCTGCAGAAGCAAAAGCTGTTCAGCTGCCTGGCATGGCAGTCCAGGTGAAGCCAGGGACCCTGAACCTGGCCCCTCCAGCTGCCGGATTCCCCTGGAGCAGCCCTGTTGATCGGGGAGATTTGGGGAGGCCCAGGAGCCACCCGCCCAGCCTCCTGGCCCTGGAAAGTACTGGTGCTCCCAGCCCCGTGGGCTTGTGTGCCACGGTGCTGGGGCTGGGGTGGGGCGTGTATCCTGTTGCATATTTTTCAAACAGCTCCACTGAGGTTTGACTGAGATACAAGAAACTGCATATATTGAGAGCGTCCTACGTAGCGTGAAACTGTCACCGTAATCAACATAAGGAACCTATCCATCATGTGCTGAGCTCTTCCCTTCGAGTTGTCCCCATTTTAGACACAGGGAAACTGAGGCTCAGGTTAAGGAACTGGCTCGAGGCCTTGCTTGGCGGATCGAGTGGCCGAGCCAGGACTCAAACCCAGAGGGCTGGGCCCCATGAGCCACTGCTGGAAGGGATAAGGGCCCAGAGAAGGGAAACACGGGGGCAGGTGTGGTCTGGGAAGCTACAGGGCCCTGGTGTGACTGGGGTGGGCTCAAGACAGGGAGAGGTGATGCCGGCCCAAGATTCACCCTGCTCTTAGAGTGGCCCCTGCTCTGCCATCTCCTAGGGGCACCTGGAGCCAAGAGGGTGGGCACCGGAGTGAGGGAGAGGAAGCTCCACGGGGACAGACAGACTGCCCGTGATCCCTTGTCCATGGCCCATCCTAGCACATGGCACGCTGGGTTTAATCGCACCCCCACCCCCACAGCTGTGAGGTCCACGGGGACAGGGACCATCTTGCAGTCAGCAAGTGTCATGCGGCCGGCACTCAGAACAACGCTTCTGATTCCACAGTCTAGAGGTCAGTTCCTTGCCTCTAAAGAGAAGGTTAGGTAAATCCCCTCAAAGCACGCCCTCATCCAGCCACTAGGGAGCCACTAGGGAGCCCCGCCTGCTTGCCAGGCTGTGCGCATGCACGGGAACCGGGGGGCCTCAGCCTCTGGCTCTGAGCCGCGTGGAAGAACGCACACAGCTATCCAACTGTGTGCTTCAGTGTGAACGCGTGTGTGCATGCCGGCACGTGGATGGGGGCGCGTGTTGGGTTTGGGCCTGCGTGTGCAGACATGAGCAGGGCAGGTGGCCGGGAAATGATGCAATCTGACACTGGCATTCCCCCCCA